CAGTACTCGAGCTGAGGCCTCACCAGTGCTGTGTACAGGGGGACAATGACCTCCCAACAGGTCCATGTGCTGAGGACTACAGAGCTGGACGCAGCACTGCGGGTGAGCTCTCACCAGAGCAGAGCAGAGCGGCTGCATCACCTCCCTTGACCTACTGGCCATACTCGATGCAACCCAGGGTATGGCCGGTCAGCGCACACTGCCGGCTCACGGCCAGTTCTTCATCCACCAGTACCCCCAAGTCCTTCTGTGCAGGGCTGCTCTCAATCCCTTCATCCCCCAGCCTGTATATGTACCAGGGCTTGCCTGACCTGGGTGCAGGACCCTACATTTGGCTTTGTTGAACCTTATTAGGCCCCACTTCTCAAGCTTGTCCAGGTCCACCTGGACGGCATCGCATCCCTCAGGCGTGTCAAACGCACAACTCAGCTTGGTGGCATCTGCAAATTTGCTAAGGCTGTACTCGATCCCACTGTCTGCCATTGATGAAGCTATTTCTTGGCAAAGCGTCCTTAAAGATCTGCCAGCTCTGTTCTGCTCCTTTGTCCCTGAGAGCAGTTTCCCAGGGGGGGCCTACTAACCAACTCCCTGAAGAGCTGGAAGTTTTCTTTCCTAAAATTCACGTTCTTCGCCTGACCCGTATCCCTCAGGACTGCAAACTCCACCAGTGCACAATCACTCCAGTCTTGATGGCACCAGTTAGCTCACTTGCACTGGTGACCATCAAGTCCAGTATCGCATTCCTTCTGGTAGGGCAGTTACCTGGCTTAAGAAGTCATCCCCGACGTACTCCTGGAGTCTCCTGGATTGCCTGCAGTTATAAATACTTTCTGGAAGAATACACAGCATGGCGTAGCTTTGAGTTGGTGGCATTTTTATTTGGTTTTGAATTAAAAAGGGATTCATATCTCCACTAGGGGCCTGGTAGATGAAGTGTCTCTTGGAAAGTAAAGCAAATTCTATACACATTTGGGATGACCTTGAGGTAGTCTGTAAAGATGATTGTCTAACAAAGGTGGCTTGTTGGTTGTTTCCTTTGTTTGGGGTTGTTTTGGTTTTTTTATTTTTAATTACTTCCTGGAATTTTCTGTTAAGAGTTAATTAGTCATTCTTTGGAGCTCTAGGAGGAGGATTTGTCAGCATATATATATATATTTGGGACTACATCTGTTTCATCAGCAAACTTACCATAAGAAGAAAACTGGATATACTGGATATCAATATCCATCATCAATTTTTCTAGAGATATAATCCTGCCATTTTACTGGAGTTTTAATATCTTCTTGCGGCCACAGTGCACTGAAGCAGAAATTGATCTGATGCTGTTTCATAAAAATGTTGAAACGTCTCTTTTAAATGCGTGTGGTTATTAATATATAGCCCAGTGATGTTCATACGGCTTCCAGCCTGCATCACCCTGCCTTTCTCTGAAATTCCCCTGACAGGATTCTGCCCATTTTAGGTGCAGGATTTGAGAAAAGGAAAAATATTCTGAGAAGTGTCTCTCTCTCAGAGAAAGAAAAGTTTCTGTCGAGACATTTTTCTCCAAATTTCCAAAAGTTTATTTTCATGAATAATTAAGAAAATAGGGGAAAACTGAAAACAGACCAACAACAAGAACAACAAACAAACTCGGAGGTAACACGTGCTTCTTATGCCACTCTGTAAGATTTTGGATACGACACGCAGGGGTTCAGGCTCTGGTGCCAGGACTTCTCCTGGCTCACTGAAGCTGATGTGGGATGTACAGTGAGGTACCAGGACACGTTCAGACCCTCATCTATCAACAGTAACTGACAATTCTAGAAAGTTGCAGTAGTTGTGGAAAAGGGGCTTTTTTTCTTGCAAGGAAATAGGGAGCGTGATGCTATTTGCCAACAGCAGACAGCTGTTTTGGAGTTCTTCGGGCAGTTCCGCTCCCCAGCCCCTCACCAGGGACCCTAACTCTCTGCCAGGACCGGTGACGAGATGCCATTGCCTCATGTGAAGCGGGCAAAAAATTACAGTTATTAGGCTATCACCCCTGTTTTAGAGCCTCTGCAAAGTATGGAAATCGAGGAAGGTGCAAAACCCACACCCCATGTTTTCCCTGGATAACTAGTCCAAAGAAAGCACCGGGCGCAGAGTCAACAAACTCTGAGATCCCTCTTGAACATGACAAACAGCACTTTTATGCTCAGCAGGGTCGTTTTCCCCATCGACTATCGAAAAGAAAACAGATTTGTGGATGGGGCTGCACAAGCCAGCACAGGAACCCTCCAGTTACGTTCTAACCAGCCGCTGTTGCTGTAACAGAAGTGCATCCAGGCTGGGTTTCGGCTGCCACGGAGCTCGAGGCTGATGCTTGGGGACTAAATCTCCCCAATGCAGCAGTGCCGAGTTAGCGTGACTCCCTGCCCAAGTCTTTTCCTGTGCTCTCAGGCTGGTTTTGCAGCTCCTGCTGAGGCCAACGCTACTCCAGCCAGGCTGCCAACGGCCTCCAGGCTGTCCTGGTGAAAGCTAGCTTGCGTTTTTCTATGTTGCAGGGCAGCAGTAAAAGCAAGACTACAGTGTAGACGTACCACGTGTCTCTCAGACCCCAAGTGCAACTTTATTTAGACAGACAAAAAAATATAAATAGGTAAATAAATAAACAAGTTTTCTGGGTGATTTCGGAGAGAGCTGCCTCGAGGGTCCGTATTTCTCACGTTTGCTCAACTAGGACACTTTCATTTTGCCTTTCTCGGGAGCTGCTTCGTGGATGAGCGGCTGCTCATCCCCATTCACCGAGAGGATCTTCTTCTCCAGCGGCTGCTCCTCGGGCTGGCGGGCGATCAGCAGGCGACAGGTGAGCAGGATCCCAAAGACTAGAGCGTGGGCGTAACGCTTGAGCGGATCCCCCACCAGCTGGTGGAAGAAGAGCACGGCCAACACGAGGAGGAGGAGGAGAAAGTTGGCCACGTCTTTGGGGCGCCCAGGCACCAGCGTCATGACGATGCCACACGCCACTTCCAGGGCGCCGATGCTCTTGCGGAGGAGGATGGAGCTGACTCCCATCTTCTTGAGCATGGGGAGGGCCCGCACGTAGCTTTTGTACGCTCGCTTCTGAAATCAAGCAGCAATAGCATAGAACACCATCATATGAGAAAGTGAAGGCAAAGGTGACTTCCACTGAAACAGACTGATGTGCAGTATGACCTAAGGATCACTTCAGTCATCGCAGACCCCTCTGGCACAATATCCAGACTCCTGAAGCTTCTGTTGGAGAAGTAGTAACACCACTGACCTCCAATTCCCCCTTTACAAGCTGTTGCCTCCTCGGTGGAAAACAGATCTACAACCCAGCGCCCATCTTTGGAGCTAGGGCCCACCAGGTGTGCCTGCTCATGATATCTGAAGCTACGAGTGCTAGAATTAGCAACGTGGAACCACAGCGTTAAGAAAAAGTACCTCTCAGAGTAGCTCAGCCTTTATGATTAGATAACACACCTAGTCCCTGCAAAGCCAAGGCACGAAGAATAAACCCAGAATCCTCTTTCTACCTCAAAGCAACTTTACAACATCACAGTGTTTGTGGGCAGCGCAATCTTTGCCCGAGACTATACATCAAAGCTGAGATTCGCCAACCTTGTCCTGTACTTAACGTATCTTTATGATCCTTTCTCTCCTCAGATGAAAGCAGGCTGATACTTGACATCTTTTCTCCCTGGTTTATGCTGGATTTAGAAGCTGTCTAAATTGTTCCAGGCAAAAACAACCTCTGTCCTTACACATCTTCAGGTTCTTGCATTTGAACATTAGTGATCATGGGCTTACTGGGGTTTTTTTGTGTTTTTGTTTTCTTTTTCAATTATTTTCTTTTTTTGAAATACTTTAACAAAGCTCCTAGTTATTGGAGACATTGAAATTATTTCCACATACACTTGAGTATAATATCCCAGCAAATATTCTTGCCATCATGTTCTCTACTGTCTAAATGGGGAGAGGGAAATGGAAGCTGAATCTCAGGTACAGAGTTGTTCAGCTGATCAAACTGTAAATTTACTTCCATGTGATTTTGGAAACCTGCATTACAGGCACGCAGAACTTCCCCACTTCTCTGTAAATTTTGCTGCTTCCTTCTGAGAGGAGCTGACATTTCACATGGGATTAAAAATATATGGCATTGTCATTTTTGCCACTAAATAATTGAAGATCTCATGACACATTTTCTCTAAGTGCATGCATTGTCAGGATGCATTTTAAGCTTCCAATGAATCCTCCAAGCAGTGCATTTTTAAACAGTTGTGAAAAATACAGCTTTTTAAAGAAATGTACTATCAGCATGCCCTAGAGTACTCTGGTATTTAAAATATTTTAACAAACTAGTGTGTCTGGGGTTTTGCTGAATGAAAAATTTTAAGTTTGGTGTTGTGGGTAGGTACCAGAGGTTCTCTGTTTGCTCTGGGCAAAAATTGATCCTTATTGATGGGCAAAATGAGGTTCTCACTGTCTCGATGACACACAGAGCACCCTGAAACGCAGCACAGAGAAAGCACGAAAGCCTAATGAGCCACGGACCTGTTACAATATGGGCTATTAAAAAGGATGGTACTGTGTCATATCCAAGTACCTCTGCTTTCTCTGTGTAAAAACTGATCATTCCTACCTGGAGGCCTGACTCTTGGCAAAGCAGAGAGGGACCAAGAAGCAAAATATTTCATAGAGCAAGGCTTTTGCAGCACTTCTGAAGTCTCAGTGCTTTTTTTTCTGTCCCTTATATAGCAGAAGCTTAAGAGCTTTGTTTTCTGGGCATTTTATCTCAGTCTCTTGCTCTCGAGTTACTTCTTAGTGATTCTTCTTTGTGAGATCCCTGTGCTGGGCTGCAGATGAGGCACTATGAATCAGACGTTATTTGAGAGCTAAGGAAAAGCGGCTGGGCAGGTGGAGCAAAGGGAAAAAAAAGGGAGGGGGAACAGAATGTGCTGGAAACTTCTAGCACTACTTTTTAAGAGCATCAAAATTAATACCAAGGCTTTTCAACAACAAATAGAAGAGGGGGCAGGGGGAGAAGGCAGCAGGAGAATAAACAAGCACAGACGAGGAAACAAGATGTGGCAGCCGGTCCCTTGCCTGCCTGCAGCTCGGAGCTGGCAAAGCTCTGCAGCAGGGTTGGCCCTGAGCAGAGAGGAGCACACAGTGGCTTCTCCTTCCTCTCCTCGACCCTTTCTCATTAGGCAAGAGGAGAAGCTCATTTTGCAGGCTAAAGAGAATAATACAGTGACTATTAATAATATCTTCTTCTGCCAGCTAAGAATCTCCAAAGGTTTCATGGTCATTAATTAATCCCTGCACTAGTCTGGTGAGGCAGGGACAGGCAGTATCAGCACCCTTGCTTTAAAGCACAGAATTTTGAGGATGATCATCCGGCTGCCAAAGCAGGTACCTACTTTTCCTACTGCGGGGATCAGCTGTAACTGCCTGCTGCATGCTTGGCACTTCTTCAGACCTTGCTTGCTTTTCAGAGACCCTTGTGTCCCCAGGTTTTGCGGGCATCGGGGCGCTGTGCCACCTCACCTTCCTCGCCTCCCCTCCCCGTCCTCATCCACAAGAGGTTTCTCCATGGATAAGCTCCGACTGAGCTCAGCCAGCATATCCTCAGCCCTGCGTGTTATTTGTTTCTCACCGCGTCCATCAAATAAGAAGACGGATAAGCTGCTTCTCTCTCCCACCCATCGCTCAAGGCTCCAGAGCAATCACCCTCCGCGTATCCCCGCTGCGAACGCCGCTTCTGCCGCAAGGTTGAGGGGAAAAAGCCCTAACGCCTCTCCCTCCGTGCTGTACTCACCATCTCGTTATAGGCATCTCTGCTGAGCCGGGGGGTCAGTTTGATGGTCCCCATGAAGACAAAGAAGAGCCCCAGGGCCACCGAGAGGGCGACGATGGTGATAGTCCTGGGAGATGCCATGGAGCCGCCGAGGAGCCGGTCCTACCGAGGCCTTCTCGCTCTGGCTTCCAGCCCGGGCGGGAGGTAGTCAGTCACCATTGAAGGAGATGAGGAATAAAGCTGCAGAGGCAGCGAGGATGACAGCGGGAGGGGGATTCAGCCTCCTCCACTCGGCAACCTCCGGGTCCTAATGCCCCGCAGCCATGCAGCCAGAGCCGGCCAGCTCTAGCACACGCTGAGCGATGAGCGTTCCCCTCGCTCCTGCCGTTAAGTCATCCTCCGTTGCCTTGCTCATTCCATAAATTACCCACAGAAAGCTGAAACCGAGCCAGGATGCGGGATGGCAGCCAAATGCAGAGCGCAGTCGCTCGCTAAGCGGAAAAACCAGGACGTGTTAGCAGAGGGCACGGGAGTAACGTGTGGTGGAGGAAAAGCGGGTGGAAATCCTCCCTTTCAGTTTCAGATGCTCAGGTGCTGATACACAGCAAAAAACATGTTGCTCAGTATATTTGCCCCAGAAAAGCAAGAAAGGTGTCTTGCTCCTGTGGCTTTCCCAGAATCTGATGCCCAAAAGAGAGGGCGAGGCTGCTGTGCTACCCCTCCCTTATTGCAAATAAAACATGTCCTGTATATTCAACTCTCTGGAGACTTGTCAGAAGGTTTCCTGGTCCTCTAATACTTTCTGATTTGCAACAAATTTCCTTTTGACAGAAGCTTAGCCAGGCTAAGCAGAAACCCGTTCAGACGTTGCAGTGAGAAGCAAAACATAACTGGTAGAAACTGAAAACAGGGGGTTGTGATAGTGGGCAAAAATCTTACACTACTGGGATAGTATAAGGATGGCCTGTCAGGAATCTCCCCCTCACCTCCCTTTTTGGTGCAGTAAGTCTCAAGTCCTAAACCCATGTATTTTAAGCCCCCATTGCTTGAGGACTGGTGGTTGTTATTATTCCAAGCTCAGAGTGATTCCTTACAGAATAGTGTAGTTAGAAACAACCCCAAGTAAAAGCAAAAGCAAAATTATTTATTTTTATACAACTTTAAAGAAAATAAGTTAAAATCCTAACTATGTTGGCTCCAGTTTTTAGGATAGTAGGAGGTTGCTTGCCAGGCTCTCAGAGCTGGCACACCTCCCTCCTTGTCAGCGGGTGAACAGCAGCACCAGCTCACAGTGAACAGTATGAGGGAACAGGTCGAAAGGTATGGCCAGCATGGGGGCAAACGGCTCTCCTGCCAGCTTCTTCCCTGGGTCAGGTGGGCAGCACAGCCTGTGGAAAGCAAAGAGAGCATCCTCTAGACCAGTAGCAAAAGCCTTCCCTCCATTACCAGTAGCCCAGTAGCACGGAGGATGCCCCCAGGGAGGTATCATGTGGTTGGCAAACATCCCTCAGAGTCAGCAGCTGGCCCTGGCTGAGGTTTGGAACCATCAATACTGAAAACTTTATGGACAAGCTGAAGAATCAGTGGCAGGTTTAGAGTTCCCTTTCTCAGAGGCCGTCAACATCACTTTATTTACTAGGGCCAACCTTCCTGCAGGGAGCCCCGTGGACTCTGTATCCCACATCCAGATGTGCTGTTTTGTTGGGGAAGGACGCACAATGCCGTTATAGCATGCTTGCATTATTTTCTATTCCTTACTGATGCCCTAAAGCATCCTGCTGGAACATAAAACCCAAAGCACACCTGCTACTTTAAACCAGGGAGTGCAGCTTGCAGGTAAACCCAAAGTAACGCAGAAGCATAAACCACTTCTGACCATGCACCGACCTGGATCACCCCTGCAGAACTCAGAGTGAAATTCAGTTGCAACAAAAACCTTCCTACGACAAGGTCAGGTATTTGTGAACTTGTCTGGACATACTAGGGTCTGTCAGTAAAGGCAGTGGAAAGGAGGAGAAAGAGGATGCTCACTCGAGGAAGTTCCTCATGGCTTCGCCCTCAGGCTTGCAGGAGATGTAGAGGAGCCTTCGGATGGACTTGCAGTTCCGGATGGCCCGCACAACCCTGTAATCTGCCAAAACAGATACTGTACTTCCCCAGGGACCCACCACCGTGAGCTCTCCAGAAGCAATTATGGCACAGCCATCATCACGGAACTGCACTAAACTGTGAGAAGCACAGGAAAAAAAAAAAAAAGAACATGCACATTTTGCCATGTTGTGTATCAGATACAGGTTCTTAGGAGGCTGGGGCTGTGATCCACGCTGCTAACTGCCAGTTGGGTGGCACAGAGCGGTGGGAGAAATCCCTTTCCTTCCCAGGGGGGATTAAGAAGAAGAGAAAAATTGTTACTTAATTAAGCAGAGGCACGTAAAACCTTACATATACACTTGTGAGACAGCATCTGGGCACCAGGACCGGTTTGGGATTTCCCAGTACCCACTGGAGTCCAGCAGAGCCCACAAAGAAGGTTCGAGTGCTGGGGCACAGCACGTGTGAGGAGAGTGGGAGGGCTGGGGTTACTCAGCTGGGGGAAGAGAAGGTGAGCAGGGATCCATTTGCTCTCTTCAGGGGCCCTGTGCAGGATTACAGAGGAGATGGAGCCAGAATCTTCTCAGAAGGGCACAAGAAGAGGATGAGAGACAGCAGATTTGCTGGTGCGAAGGGAAATTCTGATTAAATATGTTAAAGAAGATGTTTTCAGGAGAGGGTATCCACCCTTGGACACCTTCAAATCTCAGCTGGGTTTTATAGCCCTGTGCAACCTTAACTCTGAAGTTGACCTTGCTTTAGTTGGGAGGTTGTACCACAGACCTTCAGAGGCTCCTTCTCTCCTAAATAATCCTGTGAAAGATGGAAAAAGGATTAGAGCTGTGGGCTTTAATGAGAAAGAATGATAAGGGCACTGAAAACACCAGACTATGGGAATTAAGCTGCTGTCAGCAACAAGGCAAGAAACTAGAGACTAAGCAAGCAGAGGGTTTAGAGCCAGGATAACTGGTCTCAAAAAACTTGCTCAAAATTGTCTGTTTTCAAGGTGAAAATAAATAGCACATTCTCTTACGGAGTCCAGCTCGAGATGGGTTCACTACAGCAACAAGGGGTCGGGCATCCTCCCACGACGACAGGAGTTGTGGTAACACAGCCTCTGCCTTCCCACTGCGAAACTCACAGTTGGAAATTCCTGTGAAGCAAAAAGCAACCGCACGAGCAGAGCGGCGTCAGTCTCACCACGCGCGAGGTGTAACAAGTACCCCACCCTGTGCTGCACAAGAGGTAACTTGTTGGGACCCCTCTGCTTCCCATTGTTCAGCAGTTAGTTTGAAACTTTCTGCCGTGGCGAGTCTGAACTCACCGTTGAACGCCGCGTTCCACCTGGCATCCTCTATTGCCTTCTCCACCACATCAATACCAACAACGTGGGACACTTGTTGAGCCAGAGAGAGACCGATTGTTCCTGGAAATGAAGGAAACCAAAGCACTCAGTACATCTGCGCTGAAGAAATAAACCTTCAGACAGTGGGGATCGTTTTCGGCGTGCAAAGCACCAGCTCTGGGAGCCAGGCTCACGTGGCCACCGCTCACCTGTCCCACAGCAGATGTCGAGGAGGACGGTGTCGCCACCAGCCTGACTCAGCCTCCCAACTGCCTCGTACAGAATTTCGGCTCCAGCCGTGTTTACTTGGAAAAAGGCGTCTGGAGAGATGCGAAACTTCAGGCCGAGCACTTCTTCAAAAATGTGGGGCTCTCCGTGAAGGAGCTGGAAGGGGGACTGCTCGTGGGAGCAGCGTGTCATGGTGCTGGCAGAGCGCACAAAAACGAGGTGTTAGAAGGCAGCTGATTTCCATTTCCACTCCCAGGATGTTCACATGCAGGGCAGGACAGTTCTCCCTGCACCAACTTTCACTTCATGCGAGCCTTTTGACGGGATCCAAGAATTTTGATTGTTTTTAAGGGATCTGTGACTTGCACAGCCTAGAACTCATTAGAAAGCTTAAAAGGACTTTGCAGAACACGCCATTCCTAGGGTTTATTCCCCAGTTTCGATGCTAATATGATTTACTGTCTTGAAAAAGTCACTGTAGGTTTTTCTCTGTAGTCTCCCAGGCTCATAACTCCCATGAGGTAGAGCCATAATGTATTCAAGTGTTTCAGGTCTGAAAAAAACAAACTATGTGGCCATCTTAAAACTACATCAGCGAGAGGCAGCCAAACATCTGTCACACCCAAGCACTCCCCGAACCAGCGAAATTTGAATTTGGTCAGAGAGGAGGGAGAAAAAGGAGGTGAGTT